GAGGGTCGAATCTAAGGAAATAGGAAGCATAGGCCGACATATATTTCTTTGTCTTTCTGTCCTTTCCTCTAACACCATCAACAACTGCCTCAAATTCCAAGCTTTAAATTAAGCAGAAGGCTGAGTTCAGATAGCAGAGCATCAGGAAAAAAACAGAATATTTCTGTCTAATGCCACATTGAAAGGCTGAGGCAGACAGTAGCTGAATCCGTGCTTATTTTCTTGATCAAAATTGTTATCAGTGTCTCCCAGTATCATGGCTAATTCAGGGGCAGCAACAGTCACAGATTATGAAATTGCTTTTAAAGTCATTCATATCTTCACAAAAGACAATACACCATATATGAAAATTACTTTTAAGATAATCAGGAGCACTTCCAAACTATATGCATACAACAATTGTTTAGTTCACATAATGGACCTTATTATATGGAGCACATCTGAGAAACCATTCATAGTGACAATGACCTTTACTAAACTGCTCAGGAAGATGTCGCAGAAGAAAAAAAGAAAGCAAAAGTACTCCTGTAAATTCAAGCAGAAATGTATTGATGGAAGTGGACACTGTAAGGATCATGCTTTCTTCCAGCCCTGCAATGTGAACAGAAAATGACCGTTGGTCATACAGAGACCACTATTCATAGAAAAGCACCATTTTCTTCTAAGTGAAAGACAAAATTGGTATTTCTAAGTGAATAAGAAGGCATTTTGCCAAAACGTTATCAAGACTGAGGTGCTCTGTTCGATTTTCCTTGCAGAACATAATTTTCCATTTACAGTACCTAGTCACCTCACATAGTTGTGTCCCCTGAAAGTACAGATGCCATAAATTTGCATGTGGACAAATGCTTAGTCAGAAGCATAACAGAGTTATAGTCTTTTGCTGGAAGCCACTGTTTACTCTTATCACTAATGTGAGCAATGATCCAGGTAATGGAAATGAAACCTAATGGTCAGATTGTTTCACAAAAATATTGGAATAGCAGCAACTAGAGTTTTACCTTCCACTATTGAATTTTTGAACTGGTCAAAAAATCTAACTATTTGGGAGACAAAGCTATAATCTGGCCTAACACTGCATTAAGCAGTGACAACAGCAGTGTGATGAAAGGGTGGAGAAAAATCTCTGCTTTGTCCAAGACATACATGAACCAAACATACATGAACCTTGTGTCTACCATTTGGCAAATGTATACTGCCAGCAAGGTGTCAAATAGTTTGCATCTGCTGTGGAAGAACTGCTAGTGGATCTGTTCTTCAATTTTCACCACAATCCAAGTAAAAGGAAGAATACCAATAATATAGCAGTTTTGTAACATAAGCTACTGTGAAGATCAAATTATTCTGTTCCAGGTGCACTATGTAGAGGTATGTACCAAGAATATGGTATCAATGGACAGCTCAGACTGCTACTTCAACAGCCTTGAGAAAATGGAGAAGCATGACAGAGACAGAAGAATAGCCAAACACTTTTTTTCACTGGAGACAAAGCTAAAATGGTGCAACTTAAATGTTATTTTAACACTATTTTTCAAGCTGATGATGACAAAATAAGCTACCCAACAGCTGAGACAAGAAGACTACTCAGGAAGAACTTGGGCAAGATTGCGCAAGTCTAAAAGATTGCAACGATGACATAACCAATGATGATTTCAGTATTGATAAGAAACCACTTAATGATAGAATAATATTCTTAGTCCTTAGAACCAGGGAATAGTTTTCTAATATTAAATAAGGAAACATTGTTTTTCAACAGTAACCTCAATTTTTCAAGACAGTCAGGCAGTTTTATCTTGCTGTAATGGACAAGTTGCTAAACAAGTTCCCATTCAAAGGTCCAATGTACTCCATATTTATCCAGATGCAAATAACAACTCAATGTAATCTCTCTTCAGACTTAAGGCTTCAACTTGACAGACAACTGTCATGTTTAAATGAACAGTTTTCTGACTACCAATTCTGGCCTGATAATGACCTATATTAAATAAAGATAAAAGTGGAGTAAATGCATTTTGGTGTGAATTGATACACCTCAAACTATCTTTACAACAACCAAGATTCAGTTCCAAAATAAGTTCTTGTCCAAGGCACGGTCTACGTGTGTATTCCACTGTAGATGCACATGTGCTCCAGGTGCCTGAGATGGGAAGATTTTTGCTAACAGAGTCTGTTGGTTTGCGCCTTCACCTTTCTCCTTCTCATGCTCCAAACTGAGGACATAAGGGGCATTGCAGACTGACCCACCTCCCCAGTTCCTTTCTACTGCCACATGGTCTGAGATGGAACCCTTCATTGCCCATAAAGACTTCAGTGTTTACCTGTAATTATTGTAAGTAAGTTTTATATGTTAGGCAATTATATAGTTAGTTAGTTTGGTTATGTTAGGAATCGGGGGTCTCTCCCTCTCCCAGTCATTCTTCTCCCTTTCATCCCAATACAGGAAAACTATAATATGAAACATCCTGGGATTAAAGTGTTAGTCACAGCTTCGCCCCTGCAAAATTATTGGGAAAGATACATACCAAAGTTGGGTTTTAAGTATTGTTTATTAGGTGGCCATCTTGGTCTGGGATAAGAACAAGGTGACCTCCATGTTGTGACAGGTTCTTGCTCCCCTACGCTGAGCAAAAGACGGGAAAGTAAAAAGAGCGGGAATTTGTTGTTGCTAAGGTTCCTATAAAGACAGATAAGGGGAGGGGCTAAGGGCTCTTGAGCTCTTGAGTCTTTGGGGGCTTGGGTGTCCAACGCTCGCTCGCTCTCTCTGTGGTGTGGCACACCCTTTCACACTGGTTACTGGCCTGCAGTAGCCAGTCACTAAATGTTTTGGGGTTTGTGTGTTATTTTCTTTTGGGAAGCAGACCTGCATGCGCGGACTCGGTCCAGTTAGTTAGCTCAGATTTACAACCAGAGACGACACAGCTAGGGAGAGGGAGGGGTCTCAGATAGGGTTACATACCTGTCTTCTACGCCTGTGATCCACCGTTGGTGTCCATCATTGATCTCGTTGATCCAGATTCTGCAGCCTCTCCATCATCAGAACCTGGAAAAGGTAGAAGAACACCTTTGCTTTATCGAGTGTATGTGCATGCATGTGTTTTGAATACCAAATCTCCAGAGTCCGTCATCCACCCCCGCCCTTTCATTCCTTCACCTTTAGTAAATAAAGTGTTGTGAGTTTATATTCGAGTGGTGGGTCCTTTTGTTCCAGCTCTGATAGATGGGCTTAAGGGGGAACCCAGTGGGAAGAGGTATACTGTAAGGCTCCCTGAAGTCTTCTGGTCAGGAAAAAAAATCCTTACAAAAGAATGGTATTTCCATCCCTGAGACTTTCCCAGTTAGTAACATCCATAATAAGTGACTCTATTGGTTTAGAGGAGATCACATCTTATCAAAGTTAGTTCTTTGGAACTGGACATTTGGACTTCCTCAGGAAAAAGGTTTTCACTTCAATCACCCTACAATTCCAAAAAGCTAACTATCAGGTATTAATTTCTAAGTAATATTTTGTCAGTTACTAAACAATTGCAGAACCCATGGACAAGCTCCCCCAAGAATATGCAACACAATTTCAGCCTCTTATTGAGGAGGGTAAATTCATCACCAGGATATCCCTCCAGACCCCAGATGATGTAGCAGACACAGCTTCCTGATCCATACGTTGAGAGTCATAGCTTCATTCATCCGAATTCCCCAGGAAAGTTCAATTTACTGTGGAGAATCTGCCCTTTCACAGCAACAACCTGTTCAGTGAGAAAATGTATGATTCCTTACATTCAAAGGCTCAAGGGCAACCCTTTGCTCATTGGGAATCTACGCTCCAACACCCAAGAGGAAATATCAGGGATCACAATCATAGAAGGCTAGGCCAGCACCTCAACTCTTTTACCATCAGCAGATGGATGAACCACCTTAAAAACAGCAGATCAAACATAACATTCCTCCTTCTTCATTCCAATCAAAAATACTTTTGACGAGAACCTTGAGAGCTGCGAATCAACCCAAATGTTGCATCTATCAGCCCCAAACCCAATTTGGTGACTGCCTTGCTCATTTTTCCCACATCTGGTGGATGATAATAATAGACAGATGGGTTCTCAAAATCATTCATTCCAGATAAACCATAGAATTCGTTTCCCCTCCCCCTGCAAAATCTCTTTTCCTGTTCGTCTACAGGTATGACTCTCACAAGAGGCAAATTCTCTGTTTCATCAGGGAGCCATAAAGCCAAAACCCCCTCAACATTGGGGAAAGGATTTTTACTCAAAATATTTCTTCATCCCCAAGTAGAGGGGAGCATGGAGACCCACCTTAGATCTCAGAAAGCTCAATTTCTTTATACACAGATTGGGATTCAGGAGGGAAATCTTGGCATCATTTATTCCCTCGTTCAACAGAAACAATAAAGGGTGCTCCCTTTTGGACTGGCAACATTGCTGAAGGAATTCACAAAGCATTATCAGTTTTGGCAGCGCACTTCCAACACCATTGATGATCAGTCTTCCTCTATTTTGACAATTGGCTGTTGATAGAGAAATCTCATCAGGAAGTACTGACAGCAGCTTTCTCAACCTTCTAATGTCACTTGGATTTGGAATAAACACAGAAAAGTGTGTTTTGGTTTCCACAAAGACTATAGCAGTGGTTCTCAAAGCTGGTCTGCCACTTGTTCAGGAAAAGCCCCTGGCGGGCCAGGCCGGTTTGTTTACCTGCCGCGTCCGCAGGTTCGGCTGATCACGGCTCTCACTGGCTGTGGTTTGCCGCTCCAGGCTAATGGGGGCTGCGGGAAGGGCAACCAGCACATCCCTCGGCCCGCGCCGCTTCCCACAGCCCCCACTGGCATGAAGCGGCAAACCACGGCCAGTAGGAGTGCAATTGGCCAAACCTGCGGACGCGGCAAGTAAACAAACCGGCCCAGCCCACCACGGGCTTTCCCTGAATAAGCGGCGGACAGGCTTTGAGAACCACTGGACTATAGTTTATCAGGACAACACTGGAGTGTATCAGTTCTAAAGTGTACCTCCCTCAGGACAGATTCCAATTCATAAAGAGTCTTTTTACTCAACCCAAACCGAGCCCACAGACATCAGTTTCCTCATGTTTATCTTCATAGGTCATATGCATCCTGCACCCATGTGACATGCTTTCTGATCCTCTTTCTTTGTTGCCTACAGTCTTGGCTTTGGATGGTTTATGTGCCAAACAAACAGAAGCTGGAGATGTTAGTCTCATTCTCTTCTAGAGTGTGGGATTCTCTAGTCTGGTGGAAGAGCAGAAAGCATAAGTGCATGGGGATCCACCTCATCCCATGGAAACTTTGATCCTGGCCATCTCCTTGCTAGGATGGGCACATATCTGGAAGAGCACATAGTGTGAGGGACCTGGAATCTGACAAGAGTCCAGGATACACAAAAAGCTCATAGAACTGCAAACAGTCCGTGAGGCTGGCAAGCAATTCCTAACACTTATACAATCCAAACATATTCAAGTAATATCTGACAACATGACAACAGTTTTCTACATCCAGAAAAAAGTGGGGAGCAAGAGTTACCCCTTTGCATACAAACTGTCAACCTATGGAACTGGTGTATTTGCCACCAGATTATCTGTCAGAAGTATATCTTCCAGAGACACACAATACACCAGCAGATAGCCTCAGCAGATACTTTTCAAATGACCATAATTCTGTGGTATGAGCATATTTTGTCAACGGGGGTCTTGACACGAGAGATTTTTACCTGTTTTGATCCTGTATAAAGATTGCAGCACCCAGGACAGAGACAGGCATAGAGATACTGATAAGCGGGGGGGGAGGAGGGGGGAAAGGAAGAGAGATAGTGAACAATTAACCTCTCCCAATTAGCATAACAAAGATAGTGACAGCATCATAATTAAGGCTATGTTTTAGTTACGGGTATTTTTAATAAAAGTCATGGACAGGTCATGGGCAATAAACAGAAATTCACAGCCCGTGACCTGTCCATGACTTTCACTATATACCCCTGACTAAAAGTTGGGGGGGAGGGCAGCTCAGGAGAGCAGCCCTGGGGGCGCTGCAGGTGCTGGGGAGGAGGGCATGGCTGGGAGGGGCTGGGGGGGTCACGGCCCGGGGGGCCCACTGGTGCTGGGGAGGGGATCGCTGCAGGTGCTTGGGGGGGGGGATTGTGGCCAAGGGGGCACCGCAGGTGCTGGGGGGGGGGATTGGGGAGGGCTGGGGCTGGCTCCCTAACCAGCTCCTGGGAAGCACTGCCACCCCAACTCCTAGCACCACGTGCTGCCTCTGCTCTGCCCCAAGCCCCAGTTCTGCAGCTCCCATTGGCTGGGAACCATGGTCAATGGGAGCTGCGGAGGCGGTGCCTGTGGGCGGAGGCAGCACATGGAGCTAGGACCTGTTGCCCTTCCGGGGAGACCCCCCACAGGTAAGCACTGCCCCACACGTCAACCCCAAACCCTGAGGCCTCAGCACACCCATCTTGCTGCTGGGAAGGGGGAGGGGCCCGAGACTGCCCCAGGAGTGGCTGGGGTGACCTGCCTAAGGGGAGCCCGAGAAGCTCCAGGGGGCCCCCACGCACCCACCACACCCG